TAAATATAATTTAAAAATATAAAAGAATAAAATAAAATTGATAAATTAAAAACAAATTCTAAAAACTAGAAAAAAAATTTTAAAAATTAAAAAAAATCCTAGAAAATTTAAAATTTAAAAATAAAAATATTTCCAACTCTTAATGATTATTTACATAAAAAATATATATTTAAATAAAAGCATATAAGAAATTCTCAGTCCACGTCATTGATTTTTATTCTTATTTCCTATATTTTGAACTTAATTTATTATTTATTTATTTTACTTTTGTAGTGAAAAAAAAATGTTGTGAGGTTCACCAACTTTAAATGTATATACTATTTGATAATATATTAACGTACAATTGTTATATTTTTATTGAATAATCAAATTTCATAAAATAAAATGTTGTAAAATAATTTTTCAAAATTCAAACTAGACGTATTTTCTAATTTTCTATTTTTAGAAGCAATTTTTCAAAATGACAAGTTAAACGAATTTTTATCAATTTTAAAATACATTCCCCAAAATAGACAATTGAAAATAAACTCAAAACTAAAACACAAATCAAACGGACCTTGTTCGGTGCAAATTAATATTAAATTTTGAGCGGAATTTGAATTTAAAGGTTGGAAATTGGGGAATTGTATTAAAACATTTCTTCTTTTCCAATTTTGCCCTTGACTTAAAAGAGTGAATCACCATTTTAGATGAAAACGTTGGTATGTTAGGGTAATTCTATCGTAGAGATGAAAATTACTTGATGGGATGGAAGCCAAAAGGTCAAAAGTCTCATTATTTCTGTCAATTAACTTCAAATTATTCTTTATGGGACCAACAAAGTTGCACCAAAAAATCGATTTTCCTGATAATCTGCTTCAAACATGGGCTTAGTCTTATCTCCAACATATTGTATCTGTCCCTATTTAGGATGAAAAATTAACCTAATTAGCAATTGAGCTAATCTTGAAATAATGATTGTTTTTTTTTTTCCATTAGTGCAACCTAGGATAATTATATTAGCAGAAATGATCTAATGAG